ACCGTAATCTTGTCTCTATTTCTATCGAATCTATCTCGTTCTTGTATCTTTCGATATCCTTTGTGAACTCTCAGAGACAAAAAGTTCACAACTAATGATTAGAAAGAAATGTAACAAAGAAAGATCAAAATAAGAGAAAAAGAGGTGAGAATCGAAAGAAAAGTCAAAGTTATTAATAATTAATAATAAAATCTTGCAATTTCTTAAAAATCTATCTTAAAAATAAACATTTTGTGTCAAGAATATTGAAAAAATAAGCTAGGATCGATTGTTGTTTGCGTTGGAATAGTAGAGATTTTTATGGAGATTTGAAGAAAGGAGACCATTTGGTAGGGCAGTTATTGCATTGGGTTACTGTAATGGAATTGATTCACTTTTACGGACATTCTACAGTAATCTCAGATTTAAATTTTATCATTAAACATTAATCATTACTAAGAATTTGTCTATATTTCCATAGCTTCATTTGTGAAGAAAACTTTCACGTTTCAAAGATCGTGGTGAAAATAAAGAGCGATATTTTAATTTGTGTTTATCTGAAAGTTGATCTACAATCTTCGTCTTCTTAAACTTGGAATAACATTGAATCTTGAATTTAAAGTACTATAATATTTCCAAATTTTCAGAAATATCACCTGTAATCAAAATCACAAATATGCAAATATGCTCATTGTTGCCATTTTTGTCGAATCATCCCCGTTGTCTTCCCTCCACATTATACCAATCATCTTCTTTAATCGAAATCTCCAAAGGATCTCCTGGATGGCATTGCAACGATCCGGCTGACATTTTTGATCTGAATTTAACCGTGAAAATGATTTCTAGATGTAGTATTCCAATTTTAAAGCCAAGTTACTCTAATTTTCACTTTAAAGCCTCACTTTTCCCTGTGAAATTCAACGAAGAGAATCATTAACGTCGAATAATGGATTTGGATTGATTCGAGTAATGGATTGACTTTATAACATGGTGTTCTACATAGAACGTGGATGTTCTAATAATGAATCTTCTATTTGCACACGTTTGTGCATAATTTGTCGACAGCCCACCACGGGCACTGTGCCTTCATTTTCAAGTCCGCACAGTTAATTCAAAAGATGTAAAGAACGAGGTTTTAGCTGTTCAAGTTATTGTTTATAAGTCATTTACATGGAATAGCACATTCGAAAAGTATTACTGAAGTTTCTCCTGCTAAAGTCACCTTCAACTTTCTGAAACGCTGAAAACCGTTTTGCAACACTTGGTGAAGATATTCAAAAAGCACGTTAAAAATAAACAAACGATAATATGTATATAAAGATTATCCAAAGACTTAACTAGAATCTACTTGTTATTGATTCGAAATGAAAGCAAGGAAAATGAGAAAATGTGGAAAATGATAAGAGAGAGGACACGGTAGGGTGAAAAGAACACGGTAGGGTGGGAAATGGAAGCGGGAGAAGAGAAAAGACTGTCGATGTTGCTTAGGTTGAGTCTTTAAAGCTGAATTCGAAAAACATTTCCGCAAAATATTAATATTATTAGTATTTTCTGCAGCAATTTCTAGGCTTTCCGCGGTATTGTAATTGCTGGCAATCAGCCAAAATTTCTTTGGAACTTCGAACAAATATGAGTCAGCAAAAGAGTCCTCAACAATTCCATTCACTTAAGATCAACAAGAATTGACTTGGCGCTATGTTTTGAAAAACTGAGAAATGACAACTAGTTAAGTTCTAAAAATGCATAATATAGACTTTTATGAATGCTTGTTGATGGAGGTCCGCTTTTTTTGTAAAACGTTGCCTCAGAGAAATCTTCGTCTTTCAACTTGGTTAAGTTTTGAGTGTCTAGCTGAATCACAGGTTTCCTTGTCTTTGATTATCACCTTTAATATTAAACAAACTTAACAAACTCGTTTGTGTATAGTCTATACTTGAAATGTGTGACAAAATAGACGACGTGAGTGAAATTTCAATGTATCTCTCGGTGAGAAGTTGCTTCAGTTGCACAAAAGCTCATCAAAGACCCGAAAAACAAGGGTCATCTGAGACAAGAAAATTCAAATTGAGCTATTGGTCGTGGTTAGCAAAAAGTGGTTAGCAAAAAGTGGTTAGCAAAAAAAGAAAGGGGGCCTTCAATGCTTGAGCTTATGGTTCTGAGTTCTGGGCTCTCGGCCTCGAATGGCTTTGACGTAAATATTAAATCTCCAATAATGAGACAGATACAATTTTAAGAGCCCTGCGGCTTATTTTGGTGAACCATTGATATCCATTGATATGTTTGGCTCATGGTTCCATGAACGTTTCTTTCACAAATTCTAATCGCTTTATCCGATCTCTCGGATTTTTCTCTTTTTTGCGAGAACAACGGGGCGGTCTCTCGTTCTCGTCTTTCGATCTCTCGGTCTCTCGTCTCTCGTGGATATCTATATAAGTAAACGAACCAAAACCTGGTTTGCATAAAAGTTCACAAGCTATTATTTTACAAATATCAACCTTTTGTTCTAAATTTCCTTGCAAATCCCTTCACTAAAGAAAACATTTAGATTACGTATTTTTCTCGCATTTGCATTTGCAACTCCAAATTCGAAACTTTTTCATTAAATGGATCATTGAATTTACACATTTTTTGAATCAAAAGCCTTAATCAAGATCGATTGGGCGTGGAATTGTTTAGCGTTTGTCTGTGCTTAATTTGAAACGAATATTTTGTTCAAATCTTCTGAGATCCTTGCCTAATTCCTAATACCTTCTTGATTTTTTTGATAAATTTGTACGTGTTTCAACTATTAGGTTGATGCATAAGTGTTTTTGTTCCTTTTCGTCTGCCGTTTCAAGCCAACAAATGCACCAATTAACTACAATTAACAATGAACTACGGTTGATTTCATTAGAAAAAGCAATTATTTTTCTGCAAAATAACATTAAAACGGGTTTAAAAATATTGAGTGCCTGGATTTTCTTGAGAGTATGAAGTCGGGTAGTCAAAAAGGGCTAACTCGATGATGCGGTTTAGACACCTTAGCTAAAGAAAACCTATCTTCGTGTCAATAGATAAAAGATAGAGAAAAAAAACGTTTGATATTTCGCCAAAATTTCAGAGAAATTCATTGAGCCAATTTTTCCGTAGAGTTTTTTATAGATTTTTACGAAAAAGGCGTTTTTCACTCTCGAATTTGCTTGAAAGTGAACCGAAATTCATTTAAAAAGATGCAAATTGAACAAAAAAACACTTTTTTTATAGAGCAAACTATAGATTCATTCGTGAATTTGTTACTTTTTAACAGAAGTACGAAAAAAACGAAAAGACTTATGCATCAACCTATTATTTGAATAACAAGATTTCGATCAAAAGACTAATTTCCAGATTCCGCTAGAATCCGTCCAAATCTCTACAAAATGTCAGATGTGACAACAAGTGGTTGGATGAATATTGATGAAAAGTATGTTAAAAAGAAAAAATTAGAAAGATTATTTGCAACTTCGTTTTTCTAAGTGTATAACGATTGTGATTCGGTAAAAGTAGACTGATAAGGATTCTCTTCGTTCAATTTCAAAGGGAAAAGTGAGGCTTTGAAGTGAAAATTAGAGTAACTTGGCATTAAAATTGGAATACTACATCTAGAAATCCTTTTCCCAGTTAAACTTAGATCAAAGATGTCGGCCCGATCGTTGCAATGCCATCCAGGAGATCCTTTGGAGATTACGACTAAAGAAGATGATTGGTATAATATGGAGGGAAGACAAGGGGGATGATTCGACAAAAATGGCAACGATGAGCATATTTGTGATATTACAGGTGATATTTCGAAAAATTTAGAAATATTATAGTACTTTAAATTGAAGATTCAATGTTATTCCAAGTTTAAGAAGACAAAGATTGTAGATCAACTTTCTGATAAACACAAAGTGAAATATCGTTCTTTATTTTCACCACGATCACTTTGAAACGTGAAAGTTTTCTTCACAAATGAAGCTATAGAAGTATAGAAAAATTTTTAGTAATGATTAATGTTTAAGGATAAAATCTAAATCTGAGATTACTGTAGAATGTCCGTAAAAGTGAATCAATTCCATTACAGTAGCCCAATGCAATAACTGCCCAACCAAATGGTCTCCTTTCTCTCCAAATTTCTCTCTCCAAATCTCCATAAAAATCGCTACTATTCCAACGCAAACAACTATTTTGCATTTTATTCTATTTTTCAATATTTTTGACACAAAATTGCAAAGAAATTACAAGATTTTATCTATAATTTCTAATTTTATCTATAATTTTCCGAAGTGAATTTCTAATTAAATCTCTTGTGGTTCCACAGAGGTGTACTTTTCATTTCTCTTTTTTGTTTCCTTTTTCTTCTTTCGCAACCGATTGCCGCATGTCTTGCATTTGCTGAAAAGTGAGGAGAAATGAAGTGAGAAAAGTTACTGTGATTTCAATTTGTCGTTAAAAGTTTCATTAAAAGTTTCACTTTACATCATTCCAAAATTGTTTTTGTGACTTTAGTGGTGCTCTTTCTTTCACTTTTTGTAGTTCTGTTTTTCAAAACAATAAAACAATACAACAGTGTCTTGAAATCAATTGATAAAGCGAACAAGAAAACGTACACAAAGATAAAGAGAAATTAGTTAAATAACAATAATTAACTTAGAACCTAAGTAAAAGCGATGATAACTCTGCTAAGCAATTTACGAGAATGAAAATTTTTCTTTTTCTTCTCACTTAACATAGATTCGTATTGTGCCAATGTCTGAAATGGCAAAGATATCTTCAGAATCTTGGCAATTTCAGAAAGGGATACATTCTAATTGTTGCCCAATTTACTTATCAAAAGTCTTTTTTCAATTTGCAAATTAATTCATTTGTGTAGAGGGCTCAAATCGCTCGGAAAAGTGTATCGGAAAAGATTTTGGATCACCTAAATCAATCAAAACTTTGTGTTTCACTGTAAACGAACACAGGCTAACTTCAATACCATTTTAATTACATAGGCACCTTTTTCTATCTCATATTATTTAGAAATGGATATGGAGGCTATTGAGGTTACGGTAACGATGGTGGTTCTGGTCACAGGCCTTACGGTGGATATGGAGGCTACGGTGAATATGGAGGCTACGGGGGACATGGAAGATATAGCGGCGAGTGAGTTATCCATGGATATAATTGAATTTTATATTATAATCAAAGTATTACTGTAAGCTTTATCCCAAGATTAACTTTTAAGATACAATCTAATGGAACGAATCATCGGCCGAGCATTGACAGGCATTGACATTGACATTGGCATTGACATGGGCATTGGCAGGCGCTATGATGGGTGCCATGATGGGCAAGAAGCAAGATCGATCCGACAAAATTCCCATCAACAACAATGACAATTGCCTTTTCATGACAATAGACAAGAATGATCATTTCATAAGTATTTACTCATACATTTTATTATGACTGCGTAAAATTTCTTATTCCATGCATGAATAACCAATAATTCTTATCAGAGCTCTCTTTTGCAGGGGAAATTTAAAGCGATTTCCCATACGTATTTCGGCGATAAAAGAGCCATTTTTGAGGTTATACGTATGGACTTTTTTATGATATAAAATATACAAAAAAAGTCGATAAATTGGATCAAAATGGAGACAGGATTACGGTAGAAAGAGAAAGGGGAAAACGTAGCCCTTAGTTAATCTTCGGCTTAATCATTTTCTTGCATTTTCCATGTTATTGTTCCCAATTCCATCTCACCAAAATTGAAAATTTGTAGAAAAAACAGCCAGATTTAAGGTTTAAGGTATTAATCCCAAATATTTGGGCATCGCGAAGCCCAGTCCTCGGCTCAGATCAGTATTCTGCAAAGTCTGAAATGGCAAAGATGGTTTATTTCAGATTTCAGAGAGGGATACATCCTAATTGTTGCCTTTTTTCTCTTTTCATTTTGCAACTCCATAATAAAATTATTTATTGACCGTATGTTCTACGTATCATTTCATCCCCATTCAAGCACATTTCATAAACATTTCTAATTCTCTTATCAGCTTTTTCACAGCATTCACTTTTTTTCCTCTTTTTTCTCTTTGAGCTGGGGAGGAGTCTATGGGATTTCTGTGCTAGAATATCCTCGTATTTAAACAGTCCAAAGCCTGGTTTGCATAACCGTTCAAAACCTATATTTTACAAATATCAACCTTTTGTTCCAAAAGCCCCTTGAAACTTTAAAACTTGCTTTTTCAGAATCCACTTGATTTCAATTCCTTTTCCCCTCAGAATCACTAAAGAAATTTCCTTGCAAGCTCACAAGAAAACACTTAGATTACATATTTTTCTCCATTTGCAATTGGAATATTCTTATGTTTTGTTGCTTTTTGAGATACAGAAAGACAATCCTCAATCCATCCAGTTCACTCAATTCAAATATGCTCGAAATTCGTACTCAATTAATTTATTATTTGTTGACTTTGAAACCTTTTGATTAAATGAATCATTAAAATTAAGACTTTTCTTAAATTAAAAGCCTTAATCAAGATCGATTGGACGTAGAATTGTTTAGCGTTTGTCTATCGTTAATTTGAAACGAATTTTTTGCTTCAAATCTTTCGAGATCCTTGCTTGCAAATGCTCATGCCTTATTGATAAATTAAACTATTTGAAGGGATGAAGATTTTGAAAGAAGAAAAAAAGATCGATTTTCCAGATTCCCCCAGAATTCCCCCAAATCTCTACAAAATGTTTGATGTGACAACAAGTGGTTGGATGGATGTTGATGAAAAGTAAGTTAAAAAGAAAAGAATTTGAAAGATTATTTGCAACTTCGTTATTCTAAGTGTTATTCTTATTGTGAGTAGTAAGAAATAGACTGATAAGGAATCTCTTCGTTGAATTTCAGAAGGAAAAGTGAGGCTTTGAAGTGAAAAATTCCGTAATTGATTGTAACTTGCCTTTAAAATTGCAATATTATATCCAGAAATCATTTTCACAGTTAAATTCAGAACGAAAATGGTGGCCGGATTCTTGCAAAACGACCCAGAAGATCCTTTCGAAATTCGGGTTGGAGAAGGTGATTGGTTTCATGTGGAAGGGAGGCAACAGGGATGAGTCGGCAAAAATGGCGACAACTAGAGTATTTGTGGTTTTACAGGTGATGTTTAGGAAAATTTGAGAAATATTATAGTTCTTTGAATAAGATTCAATGTTAGTTCAAATTAAAACACACAAAGATTGTAGTAATTTCTGATGACTGATAAGAATAGGTCACTTTCTAGTAGATCCATTCCAAATATTAGAATATGTCTGCTTGAGATGAGGAATCAAAATTTTAGGTCAAATTTAAGATACAAAGATACGCACAGATTAAAGTCGCCTTCCTTATTTTCACGGTATAAAAACCTAAAATTACCGTCATCCGCCTGGTAAAGCCAATGCCAGATAAGGAATTAATTGAATATTTTATTTGTCAAGAACTATAATCCTAAAAGATTCAATCAATCCCATTACAGTAACTCAATGCAATAACTGCCCAACCAAATGGTCTCTTTTCTTCGAATCTCCAATAGAAGCTCTCGACTGTTTCAACGCAAATAACTATCGATTCCAGTTTTTTTCAATATTTTTGACACAAAATGTTTATTTTTAAAATTGATTTGTAAGAAATTGCAAGATTTGTTTATAATTTTGACTTTTCTTGCAATGCTTATCTCTTTGTCTCTTATTTTGTTCTTTCTTTGTCTCTTTTCTTTCTAATCATTAGTTGTACATATTGAAAATATTCGTGGTCACAATGATTTTTTGTTGATAAATATGATTTTGTGTAGTTTGATCGAACCAAAATTCTATTTCGTGCTTTGTAACGAAACTACCGTAAGAAGGGAGTATATCACACAAGAAATATGGCAAAATTTTCATTCTGGACTTACAAGCAAATTGAAACATCTGAATCAACAAATTTGTCATTTCCTTCTTCCTGAACTTCTCGGAATTCCCAAAGTCCTGTTGTTTGAAGCGGCACCAGAAGATCATTAATTTCTTTCTCCATTCGACATTCGAGCATGTTTTTGCAACTGTATGCCATTTGATTTGCAACTGTATCCCATAGCCTTGAAACCCTGAATCATATTTTCCTCATTATCCTTTGAGCCACGACCAAACATGGGTATTCTACAATGGCCGAGTAGTGCCAAAACAGTTGTTGAAGAAAAATCAAGTCGGTGGATTGGTGCCAAAGTGGAACATTCATGGAAAGAAGCAAATGTTATGTGTCTATTGGTGTCCTGTTGGTGTCCTCTACTGGAAATTGCTGAAGCCCGACAATTCCTTCAACAGTGATGTTTATCTAGAGCATATGCAGCGAGTGGAGCAAAATATTTGTTCTTTGCTCTACCAGAACGAATGGGGCGGGGAAGTTTTTGTTCTTCAGGATAACGCAAAACCGCATCGATCTCAGAAATCGCTCGACTATGTGAAGAAGGATCTTCGATGGACTGTACGATCGTACTCAATCAACCGGTTTTGAGTCAATCATCTCAACTCTGGTATCAATCGATGAGAAAAAGCAATTCTCAGTCAATGACACCAAAATTAAGGTGCTTCAGTCAAAATTGACTGGTTGATTGCGGTAGATTCGTGCCTTTATAGTTCCTATTTAGTTCCTTTATAGTTCCTTTATAGTTCCTTTATAGTTCCTATTTAGTTCCTTTATAGTTCCTATTTAGTTCCTATTTAGTTCCTTTATTTAGTGCCTTTTAGAGCGTGGACATTACTCGAGAGATGTACACACTCTAGTTATGATAATTTTAATCAATTTTAGATCAAAAACCGACACAGCTGACGAGAAGTGTTTATCCCTTTTTGAAGTTTCAAAACTTTTTGAATTTTGAAATTTTCGAAATACAAGATTAGCTAAACGTGGACTGCCCGAGATTTCGGTTAAGCAGGTAGCTCATTGAAATTCGTAAATTTATTAACAAAAAATCAAAAAATCACCACGAATATGTTCAATATTTACAACTAATGACTAGAAAGAAAAGAGAAAAAGAAAGATTAAAATAAGAGAAAAAGAGGTGAGAATCGTAAGAAAAGTCAAAATTATAGATAAAATCTTGTAATTTCTTTGCAATTTTGTGTCAAAAATATAGAAAAATAAACCAAAATAAAAAATAGTTGTTTGCGTTCGAATAGTAGAGATTTTTATGGAGATTCGAAGAAAAGAGACCATTTGGTTGGGCGGATATTGCTTTGGGTTACTGTAATGGGATTCATTGATTCTTTTAGGATTATAGCTTTTGACAAATAAAATATTCAATTTAATTCATTATCGGGCATTGCTTTACCAGGCGGATGACGGTAATTTTATGTTTTTGTACCGTGAAAATAAAGAACCCGACTTTAATCTGCGTGTATCTTTGTAGCTTAAACTTGACCTAAAATTTTAATTCCTGATCTCAGCGGAAATATTCTAATATTTGAAATGAATCTACTAGAAAGTGACCTATTCTTATCAGTCATCAGAAATTACTACAATCTTTGTGTGTTTTAATTTGAACTAACATTGAATCTTATTCAAAGGAGACTACGGTAATTGTACCTTTCGTGCACCAAGCATCTTCTTTAAGCGTAATCTCCAAAGGATCTCCTGGATGGCATTGCAACGATCCGGCCGACATTTTTGATCTGAATTTAACTGTGAAAATGGTTTCTGGATATAATATTGTAATTTCAAAGCCAAGTTACTCTAATTTTCACTTCACAGCCTCACTTTTCCCTTGGAAATTCAACGAAGAGGATCCTTATCAGTCTACTTTTTACCAATCACAATCGTTATACACTTAGAATAACGAAGTTGCAAATAATCTTTCAAATATTTTTTTGTTAACTTACTTTTCATCAATATTCATCCAACCACTTGTTGACACATCAGACATTTTGTAGAGGTTTGGGAAAATTGATGGAATCTGGACATTAATCTTTTTATCGAAATTTCCTTATTAAAATAGTTGAAACATCAACAAATTTATCAAAAAATCAGAATAACGGAGTTGCAAATAATCTTTCAAGTTTTTTCTTTTTAACTTACTTTTCATCAATATTCATCCAATCACTTGTTGTCACATCTGACATTTTGTAGAGGTTTGGAGGGATTCTGGCTGAATCTGGGAAATTAATCCTTTGATCGAAAACTTGTTATTGAAATAGTTGAAATACGTACAAATTTATCAAAAAATCAAGAAGGTAAGAAGGTATACCTAATGTATTAGCAAGGATCTCGAAAGATTTGAGCAAAAAATTCGTTTCAAATCAAGCACAGACAAACGCTAAACAATTCCACGTTCAAGCGATCTTGATTAAAGCTTTTGATTCAAAAAAGTTGTAAATTCAATGATCCATTTAATGAAAAAGTTTCGAATTTCGAATTGCAAATGCAAATGCAAGAAAAATATGTAAATGTAATGTAAAAAATAACAAAATAATCTAAATGTTTTCTTTAGTGAATGAGCTTGCAAAGAAATTTAGAACAAAAGGTTGATATTTGTAAAATAATAGCTTTTGAAATTTTTCAGGCTTTGGTCCGTTTAAATATAGAGGTATCCTCGCAGAAAAAACCTATAGTCTCCGCCCCATTTTAGAGAAAAAGAGAAAATTAGGCAGAAAAGGTGATAAGAGAATTAAAGAATTAGATAAAATGTTTATGAAAAGTGTCTAAATGGGGATGAAAGGATACGTATGACATACGGCCAATGGATTATTTTATTATGGTATTTACTTGGCAACCTGGCATATCGGTTCGTATAGGGGCTTCCTTTTGGGGTCCGTAAAGGGGGAGAAGCGGTGAACCACTGAGCCTCGATAGTTTTAAGATAAACCGCCCGTCAAGGGACTAAATTGCTGAACAAAACTAAAATTGTGTTTGATTTGTCTAGATTGGGTCGAAAATCTAATAAAACCTGGTAAAAACCCGTTGGGTGCCTTCATTTTGGGATGCGGAAAGGGTGAGGAGCGGTGAGCAACTGAGCCGGCTCCTCCGCTTTGGGTGGTCCAAAACAAATGTCCAAATTTTTGGAGAAACAATTTTGCCTTAAATTTGGCTGTATATTTTCCCACAAATTTTTCATTCTGATGAGACCGAATTGGGAACAATAACATGGAAAATGCAAGGAAATGAGTAAGCTGAAGATTAACGAAAGGCTACTGCCGTTTTCTAAAATTTGTTTTCTTGTTCTACCGTAAACTTGTCTCTATTTTTATTCAATCTATCCACTTTTTGTATCGTTTATACTTTAAAAAAGTCCATACGTACTTGATTGACATTAATCACTGAAATAAGTATGGAAAAAATCTCTCTCGCTTTCCGTGCAAATCCGTGCAAAAGAGAACTCTGATAAGAAATTATGACTTGTCCATGGAAAGAAAATGAACACCTAAGACATTCCATTTTTCTTCAAAATGACCAAAGTTTTAGCTATGCCAGGGTCGTGAAACCCAAAGCTTTGACTGACTTAGGTAATGCAAGATTCTTTCCGATACACTTTTCCGATTAATTCTTTCTCTCTAGACAAAGCAGGAACTTTAAAATGTATAGTAAAACCAATTTACGGGAACGGAAATCACTTTTACTTTCCCGATTCTTCGATCTTACTGTATTCGATCAAAACAAGCGTCTTTCTTATCAAATTTGAGGTCAAAAGCAGCACATTTTCATAAATTTCAGGATTCACTTCGATACGTATTCAAGAATGCGGCCTAAATTTGACTATAAAATTTTATGGAGCAGTTTTTAATCTCCTACAATTGTTGCTTGAATGTTAAATGTATTCGTTTAAGGGGAATCCTAGCAGTAATTCGCGTTATGAATTACTTATTAAGTTACTTATTACTTATTAAGGAAAGTTTAAAGTAAATTTCTTCAAAGCCTTTTTCCCAACAAAAAGTAAGAAAATGCAAACACTTTTAGTGCTTTTTGGCGAAAAAACATTCAAAACTTCGGTGTGAGCTTCCGAGTTTCATTAAAAGTTTCCCTTTACATGATTTCAAAAGTGTTTCTGTGAGCCTCTTTTTTCACTAATTTTTGTAATTCTGTTTTTCTTCGAGGATTCAGACAA